GCACTGTAAGATCAGCACTGTGAGATCAGCAATGTAAGACCAGCACTGTAAGACCAGCACTGTGAGACCAGCACTGTAAGATCAGCACTGTGAGACCAGCACTGTAAGACCAGCACTGTAAGACCAGCACTGTGAGACCAGCACTGTAAGATTAGTGCTGTGGTCAGCACTGTGAGATCAGCACTGTAAGATCAGCACTGTGAGACCAGCACTGTAAGATCAGCACTGTAAGGTCAGCACTGTAAGACCAGAACTGTAAGACCAGCACTAGCGAAATAGAGGCAGGAGGATGGGGAATTTAAGGTCATCCTCAGCAACACAGAAAGTTGTAGGACAGCCTGGGATATATGAGATATTGTCTCAAAAAAAAAAACAACAACAACAAAAAAAAAACCAACAACCCAAAAACCAAATCCCAAAATTATAGAAAAAGAATGTTCAATGTTATTATTTCTAGACTCATGGAGGAACGCTGACCCATTGGCTGTAGCTATAAATATTCTTAACTATTTTGTCACTGTTATTGTACTAAACTTCAATATTCAGGATCATTTTCTGCTAACATTAGTAATAGTGACAATTTATTAAATGTATATGTAGTTGCCAGATCCTTTGCTCAGTGTCTGACCTTCCAGGCACTCTGCTAATCACTATGGGTGTCACCACCATCACATCATCATTATCCTCCTCTTCTTCCTCTTCCTCCACACTCTGTAGATTAAGGGAAGGTCCTTTGGTCAGAGCTGTGTAGCAAAACAGAGCTTAAAATGAAAGATTCCAAGGTTGTTGTCTTTTTGCTTAGTAATGACAGCAGACAAAAAAAAAATCAGCTCAATATTTTACAGATTTGCATAGGACTCACTCTTAGCTGCCACATCTGTTCGGGAGCTACGTCACAGAGGTGACTGTCACCAGGGTAGTTGCACATTCCCTTAGGTACAATGTCAGGGTTTGGGGCTGTTTTTCTAACTAACAATCTGCCATCAAAGATATCACTGCTCTGAGTACAGTGCGTTCTAAGATTGAGAGAAATCAATTCTTATGAGCTTCTGCAGTCATTTAGGGATCTAAATGTCTATTTCATCTGAAGGTGAACACTGAGGTACCCACTGGAAGGACCTTGTCCCTTGGAAGGATGTGTTGAGTGTATAGTATGTAGCTAGGCTGTGTTCCTGGGCTCACTCATCCTGAGGCTCAGGTCCCTTAGCATCTGTGATGGTTAGCTTTAATCATCAACTTGACCTAACATTACCTGGGAAGAGAGCCCAAATGAAGAATTGTCTGCTTTGGGTTGGCCTGTGGGTCTGTCTGTGGGGAATTGTTTTAATTAAGTAATTGATTTGAGAAGATGCAGCCCACTGTGGGAGGCATCATTTCCTAGGCAGTGGGTCCTGAACTGTGTAAGAACAGAGAAATTGAAGTAAGCATGAGTAAGTGTAAATGTGTTCATTTCTCTCTGCACTTGACTGTGGATGTGATGTGACCCATTGTTTTAAGTTTCTGCCACCGTGGATTCCCGAGTGATGGACTGTTACTTAGAATAGTGAGCTGAGATAGACCCCTGTCTCCTCTAAGTTGTCTTCTGTTGGGGTATTTTGTCTAGGACAGTCGTAGCTTCCTCTCCGGTGCTGGGTCCCTCCACCTGCTGGTGGGATGGCGGTGGCAATTGCTGTTTGCTCACGTATACTACCAGGCTGAGGTCGCTTCAGGGTGACAGCCTCAGGAGCACTTTGGAGTTCTTCTGCCAACCAATCTGGACTTGAGGGTTCTTCAGTATCTGGTGAATTCTTGAGTGCTTTCAAACACATTTTCAAACATATTTTATCCAGATTTTCTCTCAGCAGCTTCAGCAGAAGGCTTGGGTTGGATTATCTTATTCTTCTTTCTCAGAATTAGAAATTATTAAAATTGGGGAAGGCAATTCAGGAAGATTTTGGAGGCCCGTTTATACACACACACACACACACACACACACACACACCACACCACATAC